GCCTTGAACTTATGGTTGGAATTGAGTATGTAACCAGGGACTTTCTGAGAGTTGCCTGATACAACGGAGCATGGCTGGAAAGTCTAAGTGCACGCAGGCATCATCTTGCCTGTGATGTACATAGTTGTCTTTCTATCTGATTCCAGTAGACCTCTATCACATTTTTTGTTGACCGTGATTTTTCTCCCAGATTCATCGTACTGCCACTTTGGTTTAAGGATGGGTGGCACAGGATTACTCACATCAATACAAGCCTACTGTAGCAGTGTTTAGTCTGCCGCACAGAGAAATAATAGATGGCTCTTATACTTCACTGACTGCTCTCTACAGGAACCTGTGCTTTCAGAATACCCTTTCATTAATTCCAAGCCTGTAGTCAAATGAGCAGCTAAAATTTTCATAGGTATAGAATCCAGTGCACAGATGGAGTTTTAAAGAAAGTAATTGATGAACAATGAAAACGGAAAAAGAGATAAAATGGAAGATAGTAATTTAAATATAGTTTTAGAGGAATGACAATTATTTGCTTTAGAGAGACTAAAATATGGAATTATGCCAGATTAGGATGATTTTTTTACATTAGATGGAATCCTTTTTGTAAAGGTTTCCCTGTTAAGATAAAATAACATTACAGAAGTAGTTGAAAGATTTAACAGAAAAAAGAACAACTATTACAGAAGAGTCATGGCATGAGTTATAATTAAACTTGTGAAAATAAAAGAGGAAAAGGGAAAGCTGAATAACAGATAAAAACGCTCCTTGGTTCATTAATCTCTGTGCAGTCTCTTCAGAAACAATTCTATGAGGTAGAATAAGTAGAACGTGATGCAATTAGATGCTTCTGCTGTCAAATTGTTGAATTTGTTTTTTCCAAGTTTTGATGCTATTTTGTATAATCAGTGATTCTTTTTCTTTTCTAGTGTAATTTAGTGCAGGCGTGTTTTATGCCACCATGTGAAGATTTAAACTTAATGCCATGTTTTTTGGCCTCCTTACATACAATTACTCTAATTGGTATAACAGCCAAATCAAGTGCTAATTCTTGCTATCTAGGCAGTCAGGATGTATTTCGTCCTCCCACTGTATTTGCCAGGTAAATACTTCATAATAGCTGGGTGGCACATTAGCTGCTAGTTTGTGATTGCCATCCCCCCACCTCCAAAGGCTGAGAGAAATGAGAATACAACCAGAATACATGCTATCAGAGAGAAAGAGGGCAAGGAAATAAGGTAAAAGAAAAGCGAAAGGATTGGTAACCTTGCCATAGGTAATTTGAGGTGTTTACACAAGAGGAGTGGGAATGAGAAGTAGGGAGACAGGACATGAGTCCTTAGTGTGGATAGCAGTGCAGGTTTGATCATGGTTCTGCTTCCCATGGAGATATTTTGTGTGTGTTGATATACACTCATAGCTGCTTAGTGCAGATTATCTCCATGCAGCATAAAGGATGGGATGAGAAGTGGCGTAGCATAATCACTGAACATCTGGCATTCCACAGTAGATGCTATTCAGCTCCCAGAACTGAGGCAGGACTTTGGTAAATCAAAGGACTTTTAGACGATGCTGACGTGATAGGTGAGTGCAGCATGGGGTTATGCAAGTGGGTTGTCAATAAATGGAGAAGGATTAGGGAATTAGCTGATACAGAGTTTAGGATTCTACAGCATGCAAGGGTAAATATGAGCCGCTAATGCTGAGTTAAAGCAATTTGAATTGTATCCTCTGGACATAATGGCTGAGATCCCTCAAGTACCAAGTGTCCTCTTCTGAAGTGCAGAGTTTCATCAAATCTCTGCTGACTTCATTGGGAACTGAGGGCAACAAATTTCTCTCCAGTTTGAACCCTTCTTAAGCACCACAGTTTCTTGGATGGTTGCACCTTTGTCAAGGCTTTTAAAGATGTGATAATGTATTAGTGAAGATATATACAGTTAAATTACTTTATTTCTTTTATTTTTTTGTTATAGTTTGATTCCTTTTCAGGGGAGAAGTATTTAATTGTTGAGCCTAATTTTTAACTTGCTTATGCTAATGCAAGATGAGAGTGATGCCTGTGGAAGTAATGAATTTGCTTTGTGAGTAAGCAAATGTCATAATTGCAATCCTTATTTTTTATAAAATCTATTTGGCATGAAATAAAGGTTGAGTTCCTTACATTTTTTTTCTTTCTATAGCTTTGAAAAAATTAAATTGCATATGTATTTTCAGCTTATGTTCGTAATTGCTTTAGATACTCACTCTCCTTTTTGCAGTGCAAATTTTAATTTAACCAGGAGCATACACACAAGCCTGGAAACCTAACTTTCCTGCACAGGCAAAGATACCATTATTGGATAGCTTAGAGCACTTATTTAGGGTAGTAGTTAGGTTTCTCACTTCTGCATCCAAATCACTTTCTGAACTTCTTATCTGTAAAAAGGAAGTAAGAGAACTATGGAATTTCCCTGAAAGACAAGGAGTTAAGTACTTTTTAAAAAAGTGGTGGTGCAGGTAACGAAACCAAACAGATAATCTTTGATTTTCAATTTCTATTTTTATAACAGGAGTTCAGACTAATATTTTTTTGTATCATTTTATGTCTTATAACTTAGTGACCTTAAGGATTTTAGGCTTCAATAGAAAAGAAAAAAAAATATACATTTTATATTTGCATTATTTCATTTGTACTGGCACTGAGAGGGCTCTAGCCTAATATGTTAGGTACTGGATTAGTATACAACACAACCAATGTTTGCCCTAAAGAGTTGATATTCCAACATACAAACCAGGGAAAATCAACTAACTTGGTCAGAGCTGTGCACATTGGTTATGAAACGAAGCAGGATCTGGCAAATCAGTTGTCAAAATCTCCCAAAGAAGCTGTTATTATATCCTAAACCAGTGGAGTCAGGTGAATGCTTTCTATAGTGTGTGGCACAAAACCATAATCAGGAAAGCTGTGGTATGCAATAAAAGATCTGCAGTTTTATTGAGTTTTCCTGTATGATTCTGGTATTATACAACTGCACATTTTTGGAGTGTTAATTTAAAAACAAAAACACCCAAACAAAACAAAAACACCACCAACAAACCAAACCAAACTCCTTAAATATATATATTTAACAAAAATCTGAACATTTCTTATATTTAGCAATTAATACATTTTGTTTCTAGATCCCAAATACCAAATCAAATCTAGTAGTATTTTCCTTCTTTTTCTGATAGGAAAACTAAAAAGGACACCTAAAAATCATCAAATAGTTTGTACTACATTTTAAAATGACTGTGAGGTTTCCTGACTTAGAAATATGTGTCTATAAATATATATTAAAAACATTTCAATGTGTGTGTGTATATATACACAAATATGTATGTATATATATACACATATTGAGATGTTTACATATTTATGGGATTATTTAGTCTATGGGTGGGCTAAATGTTTTTTCAATACCGTACTTTTATGTTAACCTTAAAAATAAGTCACCACCTAATAATTTATTTGTTCCATATAAATAGATATGGAATAATAGATAATATAAAGATCTTTTGTTTTGATGTCAGTGAACTTGAAATTATAAAGAAGTTAAAAATTCGATATATATATATATTGTAAAACAATTCAGTGCCAAATACAATATGGTATGTTAAAGTTTTCAATGTACATATTGTATAAGTGGAAAATACAAATGTTTCTAAACTTTATAGTATGCTGGATTTTCAAAGATTTGATTTTGAAGCAGTCATAACAATTGGAAATATTAAAAAAGGGTAAGACTAGAAAAAGCTTATTTATAGGGCACACATTTTTATTCGTAGTTAGCTTGACCTTAAAGTAAGCTTGACTTTATAGTGAGGAAGTAACATGAGAATGTTGCTAATAAAATTTTAATTCTACTTTGTATTGACTTGTTGCTGAGATGTTTAGATAGTGTTTTCCTTAAAGGATTAGCAAATTGAAAAGTGTTACCCCTACATATATACCACAAAACCGGGATGCATGGTTATCAGTAGGCTACTAAAAATGTATTTTTGTAAGTTAAAACATCATATTAATTGAATATCTTGAAACAGATGGTACATTAAAAGATTGAGACACATTTGTAAAGTGTATATCAAAAACAAAAGCTACCAAAATATGTATAAATATTGAATTTTTATATTGGGTGTCATTCTTCACTCATAGCAATAAGTCAGTAAGGAATAAATTTGTTGACATTAATGAGGTTGGATCATATTTATGAGGACATTAATGAGTTTGAAACATATTTAAACAGGAAGAAAGGTAGGATTTATAGGCAAATACCTTTCATGTGAAGAAATTTTGATAAACTTTTTAAAATGTATATATGCTATATTTTATTTTTTCAAGATCTTCAGCATTTAGATACTCTTCTCTGCACTTCCTTTTCATAGGCTTAATAATATAATACTGTAGCACATAATGAATTTCTGTATACTGATGTGGGTGACAGGTTGAACAATCAAGGTCATGTCCTTTTGAAGACCAGCTGTTTTATCTGTCCATGCTATACCAAATTTATTTTAGCCAAGTGGGTTTTTTTAATTATTGTTACTGTAGGTGCTTTAAGGGAAGGTAAAGAATTTCAGACACATTTTGTCTAAAAAGGTGGTTTGCTACATTAGCCCGGAAAGAGAGGAATCAGATGAAAACTCTTGCTTTGATACAAT